AGGCATCTTCAACAAATCGACCCTTGCAGTGTACGTCTTTGCATATGTAAGGGATGACTTGGCAGCAACTTCATACTTGTTCTTAATGGTTCCTTCAATGAACTCCTTCAGTTGATCGATTGGAATCATCCCTTCAAATGAGACAGGGATAGCCTTATCGAATGCTACTTGTCTTGGGGGAGAATCACTCTCCGGAACTTCTGGGAGCTTGCCAGGTTCGTGGGTGGATTCTTCTTCCATCAAGATTTCCACCCTATCTGTTAGCTTGTCGATTCTAGCATCTTGATTTTGCATGCATTTGGTCAAGCCAGCTATTGCTTCCATCAAGTTTTCCAACTGCTCCTCCACAGATGAAGTGTTTATCACCATGGCTTGCATGATTGTCATGGACGATGGAGAGTAGCATGGATTGTCACAGAGATTGATCCTCGATTGGCTTACGCTATGTGGGGAGGATCCATCACTTGAAGCATCATCATCTTCCTTCGTAACAGAGTACTTGGATCCAGAAAGGTCAGAGCAAGAGTTTCTTGATCTTTTCAACAACATCGCTTCCTCCTCCGAGTGCGTTTGTGGAAGATCTTGCTCTTTTTGAGGATGAAAATCCAAAAACAGGAGTTGATGTGGACGACACTTGGGGATCTTGTTGTCCTAACGAGCTTGCTTTGCTCCTCCTGACTGGTCCAAAGCTTCCAAAGGTAACATCGAGGATGCTTTCCACATCAACATAGAACCTTGAATTAGCAGCCTTGGTGGAAGTTGAACAGGAGTTGATTTTCTTAGAAGCCATTTCAATATTCTTGAACTTTGGTGATTGAAAAGTTGAGATGAGATGTAGAGATTGTCCCACTGGGCGTGCCAGAATTTGTAGACAATAAATTTGCGTCAAGAAAATAATCAAGACCGAAAAATATTGCAACAATCATAGTATTTTATTTCAAATATTTGAGTGTTACATTCTCTATGGTTCCTCTGATTCTACTTTTTCAATATAAATTCAAGGGCTTTGAGCTTGATCTTGAACCTATATTTGTTGTCAAGAACGATGATCTTGAATTCAACTAGCACGAACTTTGATTTGAGCCCGTACTCCTTGAATCTTGATTTATTCTTCGTTCTAGAGCTTGAACTTGAACTTGATTGCTTGAAGCTTGAAACTTCTAGAGAAATTTGCTGTGTTTGATCCACAAGCTCTCTCTTGCTTCTTGTTATATCTTTTGGTGTCTTTTATGAGTTATAAAGACCCCTATTTATAGTTGTGGGAGGGAAGAGTTATGATGAGAACAAACTCTTTCCGACCAATCAGATTGAAGCATGATAATGCCGCATTTGATTGGCCAGAACATGTCACTTGCACATGAAACATAGTTTCATTGGCCATTTAATTTGACTTGGCATGCCTTGTCATTCTGACACGTGGCACGATCTATTGGGTCTTTTGTTTGACTTGGCGCGCCACATCATTTGACGTGTGGTGCCAAACTGGCCTCTAGGAAGATCACAACTTGGGCTTAATGAAGTGGGCTCATCACTTTAGCCTAGTTAAATGGACTAGCCCAATGGATTAAGACTTATTTATTTAATCCATATATATTGAACTTATATAATTAATTTAATTATATTAGCCCATAATATTTATTTGGACTAAAGTATATTTAATTGGGATCAAATCCAAATTTCATATGGATTTAAATTTAATAAAATTTTAATTGTCTATGGGGGGTTATGGACTTGAAAAGTCATAACCCCAATGAAAAGGTGGGAGGTAAAATGAAATGATAATTTTCCAACAGATACTTCAATGATCAATAGTAAATTTCCAGGACACAGGTCAAGCAAGACGAAATTTGGTGAAGGCCAATCTTGATCTCGATAAGTTAGAGGTTTAAGTATGGGTAATTCCTTTTCGAAACGTACTCTCTATCTGAGTGCTGGTATTTCAAGGAGGATCTGTAGTCGTACCCTATATTTGTGCCATCTTTTAACCTGTACTATTTTTAAAAATTATTGATTTGGTAGCCAGCTGACAAAAAATTCATAATAATATGACAATTACACCCTTAGCAAAAGATATAAAACCCGCATCACGCATTAATCGCGTGATCTACAACCTCATTCGTGAAAAAAGATCTCCTCCTCTCCTCTCAGCAGCTTTATCAAAAAATTAGAAACTTATCCAGATTCATCTTCAGAATCACACTTGCATGAAGTTGTTTCACGTTGAAGCTAAAACTTCATGCTAATGTAGCATGAAGTTGTTTCATGAGTTTTATCCGAAACTTCCGTCTAAACATGTTGAAGTTAGTTCATTTGCTAAAACTTCAAGCTAAACATGCTTAAGTTTTTTATTTCATCTGCTAAAACTTCAGGCTAAACATGCTTAAGTTTTTGTCTTCATTTGCTAAAACTTCAGACTAAACATGCTTAAGTTTTTTAGTTCATTTGCTAAAACTTCAGACTAAACATGCTTAAGTTTTTGTCTTGCAATATGTTATTTTCTAATGAGTTTTTGCTAATGCATGCTGAAGTTATTTAGTTCATTTGCTAACATTTCAGACTAAACATGCCGAAGTTATTTAGTTCACTTGCTAACATTTCAGACTAAACATGCTGAAGTTATTTAGTTCATTTGCTAAAATATCAGATTAAACATGCTTAGTTTTTTAGTTCATTTGCTAAAACTTTAGACTAAACATGCTTAAGTTTTTGTCTTGCAGTATGTAATTTTCTAAAAAGTTTTTGCTAATGCGTGCTGAAGTTATTTAGTTCATTTGCTAAAATTTCATGCCAAAATATGCAGAAGTTTTGTAATGCAGTCTACAGTTTTGTCTTGAGTTTTATCCGAAACTTCAGTCTAAACAAGCTGAAGTTTTTTAGTTCATTTGCTAAAACTTCAGCATAAACATGCTTAAATTTTTGTCCTGCAATTTGTCAATAGTCTTTTATTAAAGAAGGGCAAAATCGTCTTTTTAAAACAATTTTAACAAAAAAAAATGAGTACAGATACAAACGAAAAAAACAAAATGGTTATAAGTTAAAACGGGACGACCAAATAGGGCGCCCCATACAATTTTTACTATTTCAAGACAGTGGCCTGCCCAGCTAGAAATCTGAAGTCACGTTCTGTTTGGGTTTGTAGTTCATGGGCTGTATCAAGTGGGTCAGCCCTAACATACACGGAACATAAATTGGAGAGAAATTTTTATAAAGCACTATCTTTTAGTAGTAATTAGCCATCTATAGATACCATTTGCTATATTACGGATTATAGATACCTTTTCTGTGGTTATAAGATGTATTTGATGTATTTAAGCTATTGTATTCATGAATACAGTAGCAAAAATAGGCGTGAATCAGGGATGTCCAGCTAATCAGTTGTTGTATTCGACTGTATTCATGGAGTGAAACATGGGATTACAGCTGGACAGATTATTGTATTCGACTGTATTCACGGCGTGAAATAGGGGATTACAATGTTTTTAAAACGGAAAGTGAATCAATTAACATAATAGACTCCTAATATAACTTAACAAACTCAATTATAACACACAAATTTTGTATTTTCAGTTATAAAAAAGATTCTCAACCGAAAAATATACCAAAAATATAGCAATCTTCAGAGAAATTATATAATACATCTGAATACATAAATTATATTAATTAAAAAAAATATATGAATACATTCATGGCATATAGCGAGACAGTGAATACAATGAAATACATAGAATACAACAGGATATATTGAAATACAATAAAAAAAAGACAGTGAATACAATGAAATACATGGAATACAACGAAATACATTGAATTACAATGAAAAAAAAGAAAATGAATACAATGAAATACATGAAAAAATAGCGTGATATGTTGAAAATATATTGTCTTTGTTCAAGAACCCACTACTTAGTTGAAGAACAAACCCTAATTTCCGACGAATCCGCCGTCGAGCAAAAACCCTGAATCTCACTGTTCCCACGCATCCTGTACATTGCTTTTGACACATCAGTACTATCGTAGCTTTTGTAAAATTTCCATAATTTTACCTTCTTTTGTTCAAGAGTAGGGTTTAGAAGAAAAGGCCGTTGATTTTGAATAGCGAAACAAATTTGAGCCTGGGAATCACCGTTCCTTCGCGTGCTCTTTGCATTCAATCCATTCGTATATCCGTTGTAGCCATGACTGAGGTATGACTACGTAGTCGAACCAGAAAAGAAATCTCTGCTATAAACACTAGGGCAACGAACAGAGGCAACAATTGTGGTTTTGTGGGAGAAGAGAGTAAAGTGTATGCAAAAAGAGAGAGAGAACGTGGTTTGTGAAATTTACCATGATTATGTGAGAGAAAATCGGGAAAAGGAGAGAAAAAAATATTAATTAGCATATATGGTGCCTTAAGTGCAGGATATAACTATAATTAGATATTTTACTATAAAGGGTAAAAGGTAGCTATAAATATAATTTTTAAAATGGTATTTATTTAAAATAAATAGGGTACTAAGCTTTTCTATAGGGTGTAAAATTTCCTAAATTGGATGCAGGACTATTTCCTTAGCATTTTAAATTTTTTTAATACACCACAAACTAATTGATTGAGCATGAAGTTAAAGTTCAAGAAATTAATTTGATTTATACATCATACTGAAAGAAAATATTAAACTTATACTAGTTGAAAAGTTACGGAGAAAAAACAACACATCAAAATCTTAAATTCATATAGTTCAATTAGTTGTTTCCTCCGCCTTAAAAAGAATACTTTCATTGGTTTGAAGTACGAGGGCCACCATATAAAGTACTAGCAATAAATAAAAATATTTTATACTATTTAATACATATATCAATAATTTAAAAATCCTAACGAAAAGAAAAAACGCTCTTCACTCTAAATAGTAACAATGCTAATCAAACTGGGATAGATGGACAATAATATAACATTAATTGCTCGAACAATGCCAAAATTTGTATGACAATGATAGAATTATTAATGTAGGTATCTTTCAATTGAAAAATATCCATTCTCTGTTAAAAGAAAAAGGAGCGCCGACAAGCCCAATTGGTAAAGTTCAAAAAAGCAGCCAAGAAACATGACCATCCATGGTGCACCTTAAACAAGTCCAGCAACTTCCATAATAATCTCTGCAAAAAAAGTGACAAACTTTCCCTTTTCCTCTTATTTCCTGCTCTGAAAAATCATCAGATTCAAGAGTTGAAGCTAACAAATTATTTCTACAAGTAGTGAAAACATATACATTCTGTTAGTTAAATCTTGTACTTGTAATTATGCTACTATTATCACTATTAGTAGTAGCATTTACACTCTATTCACCAACCCCATTAGTCCAATCTCATTATAACTGGTCACCTTCTTCCTCTTCCTCATCGCCCTCTACTTTCCAATCCGAATGGCGACCCGCACGCGCCACTTACTACGCGGCGACGGACCCGCGTGACGTTGTCGGTGGCGCGTGTGGTTACGGTGATTTGGAGAGAACTGGATATGGAAAAGCTACAGCTGGGTTAAGCACTGTGCTTTTCGATAAGGGTCAGATCTGTGGTGCTTGTTTTGAAGTGAGGTGTGTGGAGGACTTACGTTGGTGCATTCCTGGTACTTCTATTATTGTTACGGCGACGAATTTTTGTGCTCCAAATTATGGGTTTGAGGTAGATGGAGGTGGTCATTGTAATCCTCCTAATGCCCATTTTGTGCTGCCCATTGAAGCTTTCGAAAAGATTGCTATTTGGAAAGCTTCTAATATGCCCATTCAATATCGCAGGTTTGTATTGTCACTATTACACACTGTTACACTGACACACCGGAGACTGGATCTAGAATTTTAATGTACTATCTTGTGGCAGTGGGTGCGAACTTAGTATTACCTGTTTTTAAACATATTCAACTGCTTCAATTATCACTGCCTGAATGTTACAACTGCCTCTGCACACAGATGCATTCTCTCCTCGCCCTTTTCTAACTGTTTAATTTCTGCACAACGTTAAATTTGGTGATTTTGTCCGTGTGTTTATATACACACGCATTTACAGTAAATTATTTAGTATTAAAATGAAGTGGACCTGAATAAAGTGGAATGATAACTAATTTAGGATTGTTGCGGAGCTAATGTATTACATGCGGGTTTGGACAAATCCAACAATTTTTGCTTAGACCTTATTTTTATATTAGGAAATCCATTGAATATGTATAAATATTTAATTGCTAACTAAAACAAGCTATGAGTTCAGTGGCAAGTTGAACCATAAACTTCAAATCCCGGCTCCGCCTTGTCATTGAGGTTACTGTCTATTGATTAACTCATTTACTGAAAAATTGAAGGAGAATTGCATGGATATGGTAAAAATGAAGGAAATAGAGATATTTCCTTTGAGCAATGGAAAAAATTAAAGGGAAAAGCCAAAATATACATATGAGAAGCAAATAGGGCCCTAAAGATGAAATATTTAAGTCAGTTTTGTGATGGATTTGGGGTTCAGTATATCAAAATCAAAGTAATTACCAACATATATTTAAAAGTCTTGCAATGAGGAGCCTAGTTATAGTTGTAATTTTTATGTTTCGTGGATGGGCTAATTTTTTTTCCCTGATGTCAAGATACGGACTTTCTATTTCTATATGAATTAGTTCGAAAATCTACGCTCAGATATTGGCACTGATTAATGTGGAAGTAGCATGACTTTGTTAGCTTCATGTAGGTATCTTTTATTTGTTGCCATAGTTGTCCTGATTTAACGCGGAGGTGCTTCTTTAAGGAAAGTTGTTACAAACCATGTGGTCGATGCATATAGGTAAATATGGGTATGATATATTCACGTCGGTGGTGTATTTATGTATACATTGTTTAAAACATATGCCAATGCATCTGCAGAAGATGATGTGAAAAATTCTACTAGGTAATGTATGAAAGCTTCTCATGAACTATACGAAAATTACAGCAAGCTTGATTTTGGCTGTGACTACCAGGCTATCAGTTTTAGTTTTCTTCATTATAGAATGGAGCTATATGTGGAACAAGAATCATAACATACCTACTATGGAGATGGATTAATGGATAAGCCATGCTGTGACTACTTGCTGTTGACTTAAAAACAAAAATCATAAATGAACAGACAACAGTTGCTATAATCTTACCTCTTCGATTGGAGTGTTAATGAGTCTCTGTAAAATCATACAGATGGATGTGCATGTATTTGTTCCTGGTCATGTATGCAGGGATTTGTGACCAGGATAAGACTTATAACAAATTGTTATTATCAGTGTATAAGCGGTGATAAGGTTATGATCCAGAAGGAGAAAAAAAGAGAGCATGTGGATGAAGATGTAGTTGAACAATTATCAGGTAACAGAGGAGATTTGGAAATCTGGTGGAATTGTTGATAATAGTGAAGCCAAAATGTAGTTGACTGCTCCAAATACTCTGGAAGGGCAACTAGGAGTCTAGATGGATCCTTTTTATTAGTTGAATTCATAGCTAGAGAGTGTAGGAAGAACAAAAGATAGGGAGGAATTGGGAGGAGTGGACTTTTCATTAGTTACCTGCCTGTTTTAATATGCTTGTAACAGAAAGATTTGGAGCACCAGTTGATGCCCATTTCGACACAGTAGATAGCAAAACTAGAAATTTAGGTCTTCATAAAAGTTATAGATTTATGTCTTTGTGATTTTGGACTCTGTCCGGTAATATCCCTAGAAATGGGAGTGATGGCATAATGAGTGGTATGATAGCTGTGTTTTCACTGTTGGACGTTGGTTGCTCTGGAATTTAGTGGGTGCTTCTACAGCCTTGAAATAAAATGGAGAAGATGTTTCCAAAGTGAAGTGGCGGAGTTAAGGCTCTTTGCATCTCAAACTCTGCTAAGCTGACTTCTTCATAGACTATGGTAGTTTAGAAGGAAGAAGGTTTTGGTGATGCATAGATCTGATTTTGGTTCAGTTTTGGATAACTAGTTTTTTGATAAACAATTTTGTAAAGGAAGTTGCGCGGTTAGATTCACTTAATGCTTTGGAGACTATTTGTGTTAGTTTTTATGAAGAATTAACTTTTGGATTGTTTTTTGGTTTCCAAGAAATATTTTGGTCTGATCCGGGAAACCATATATGCTTTTAGGACCAGATGACTTTGGTTGTGATTTTTTAACAAGATTTTGTGAAGCCAAATGAGACTTTGATCTAACCTACATATAAATGGTCAAATATTAGATTTAATGGATTACATTTGGTGGCATATTGATCACTGTAGTACTTGCATTAGTTCTTACTATTGAAATTGCTCAAAGAAAGTGCTATTTTTGTTGTACATTGATTCGGCATATTGAATTGAGTTGGCTTGGAGTTTATCGAGCTTTCGTTTCATGATAGTTACCAAGAAAGAAAGATCATGCAGAGAAACTGCTATGACTGATAGTTTGGATTTCATCAACAAAAATTTAGTATGAAGTCGTTGGCTACTTCTGTCTAGTGGTACTCTGAACTAAGTAGGCCATCTTGTGGCCCCTCTTTTTCCTAACTAGTTAGGGGTAAGCTGTTGGACAGTATCAAGGAGGATACTCAGTGTAGTCAATGGACTTGACTTTTGAAGGTCAAACTGCATGCTCTGTTTCTGACCTTCAGTCATTAAAAATTACCCATAATTTCCCCCCAGGATGTTCCTCTTTATCCAATCCCAAATGAGGCTGTAGATTCACTTTTTTTCTTATATGATGAATCTACATGTTTATCTCCCTTTTTAATTGGACAATGCGAGTAGTTCTTAGAATTTCCTTGCTGATTCTTTCCTGTATGGATACCTAACCATATATTTTCGTTTCTTAATCCTGAACAGAATAAAGTGCAGAAAGGAAGGTGGAGTTCGATTCACTATGGGTGGCGCTGGCATATTTTTGTCGGTGCTAGTAAGTAATGTTGCAGGTGCAGGTGATATAGTGGCAGCAAAAATTAAGGGTTCAAGAACAGGATGGCTTCCTATGGGTAGGAATTGGGGCCAAAACTGGCATATTAATGCAGACTTGAAGAATCAGCCACTTTCTTTTGAGATAACGAGTAGTGATGGGGTCACTTTGACATCTTACAATGTAGCTCCTAAGAACTGGAATTTTGGTCAGACTTTTGAAGGCAAGCAGTTTGGATCTTAGAACTCTTGCCAAAATTGTATCTCATTCCTCATCTTCCATTTGGGATTGGCCAAGATTGGCTGGCAATGTTGGGGCATTTTTGTTCGAGTTCATGTTGGACAAGTGACTACCCAATTTAGATGTTGCAGAGCAAAGCTGTGCGATTGTGTTGTATGTTATTCTTCTACTAAACCCCTGTGAACTTGAGTGTAATCAGAGAAAGAAACTTGTCACTTGGAAGGCATTGTTATTCCTATTTTGCAGTATATGACTGCTTCTGAAAATCTTATTTTTATTTTCTGGATAAAGAAAGTAATATAGTAATTATTAGATCATGTAATGCAAAGGTACTTCAAAAGAATTGTAATCAAGCAACTGTGTGCCGGTCACAATGTTGCACACCCTGAATCAAAGTGGTTAGAATTGTTGTTTTGTAGATTAAGCATATTGCTTCTTGAATTTGATGAAATCTATGAGAATATTCTCATGAGTCATGACTTGTGTTTCAAAAGTCTTCCTGCAAAAAGTGATTTTGCATATAAAAGGAGAAAAATGTTTCCTGATATTTTAGATGTTTTGTCAAATGATCAAAATGCTCTGCCTTGTTCCTATCAACTTTAGGTAATGTATCAAAGCCACAAGGTTATAAATATATACAACCTGTTAAATAGCATATAACATTATTTTTCGTTCATCATAACACCCAAAGCTCCAGGTTGCCATTTTCCTTTTGTAGTTTTCCTGAGACCTGGCATATGGCAAATCATGCATTTTGTCAGTCTAGAAGTCAAATCAAGGTTGCAATCAGAACTCTATAGTTTAAGACAAGTCAAGTAAATATGGAGAGGATCTACATTCACTTGGTACTGGCAAACTGCAAGATGGCAAAAATTATCATTTTCTACTAAAAAGTACTAGCTCACAACAGTATGAAGAAGAAAACTAGGCACACGTAGTCTGCTTGATGAACTATTTTATATATCTCTAAGAGCCAATTCACTGGCAACTTCTCTTGTTATCTTTCTAGTTAGCACATAGTAGTTTAACTCATCGTGTTATCTTCAGAACCCAATAGGGGGGAAAATAGGAAAATAAAAGGAAACCAGGGGTACTGATATGGAGACTTCTCTCTATCTAACCTTTTTTGCATTTCTTTCTCTTCTTTTTGCCGTCTATTTTATTCCGTTGGCAGCCTAAGATCCATCATAACAGAGTTTTCTTCAGTGCTTATCCAAACATTCAGATCCATCCGACCACATACTGTCTAGAGTGTACACTCCAAACAATTCCTCATATAAGTCTGTGCTACAACACTATATCAGAAACAAGAGGTTCAATAGATCAACCACTCCAAAGCCGGACATTATTTTCACTCCATTGCAAGAATCCCATGTCCAGGTTGCTGTCATTTGCAGCAAGAAAACTGACAAGCACCTAAAGATCCGAAGTGGAGGGCATGACTACGAAGGCATTTCTTACGTTTCCAACATCAGTTTTGTTCTCCTTGACATGTCTAACCTGCGTTCTGTTGATGTAGATATCCATAATGAAACTGCTTGGGTCCAAGCTGGTGCAACTCTGGGCGAACTTTATTACAGAATCTGGGAAAAAAGCAAAATCCATGCCTTCCCAGCTGGAATTTGCCCAACTGTTGGTGTTGGCGGACACATAACTGGAGGAGGATATGGTAACCTGTTGAGAAAATATGGACTGTCAGTCGATAATTTGATTGATGCGCACATAGTAGATGTCCACGGTCGAATTCTGAACAGAGAATCAATGGGAGAAGATCTGTTTTGGGCGATTAGTGGCGGGGGTGGAGCTAGCTTTGGAGTGATAACGGCCTACAAAATCAAGCTGGTAAAAGTTCCTGACATTGTTACTGTTTTCCGAGTAGTGAGGACCCTTGAACAAAATGCAATTGACATCGTTTACAGGTGGCAATTCATTGCAGATAAAATAGATAACAATCTCTTTATAAGGTTAACTTTAAAACCTACTGATGACAAGCAAAAAGGAACTAAGACAATTACAGCAACATTTGTAGCATTATTTCTAGGAGATTCCAGAAAACTTCTATCGGTCATAGATAGGGATTTTCCTCAATTGGGTTTACATATTGAGGATTGCAAGGAGATGAGTTGGATAGAATCTGAGCTTTTCTGGGCAAATTTCCCTGATGGAACACCACCTGATGCTTTGCTCAACCGAATGCCTGGAGCGAAGTTTCTGAAGCGGAAGTCAGACTATTTGCAGAAACCCATTCCCAAGGAAAAGCTGAAATCTATATTCGATAAAATGATTGAATTAGGAGACACAGAGTTAGTATTCAATCCATATGGTGGAAAGATGAATGAAATCCCGGAACGGGCAACTCCATTTCCCCACAGAGCAGGAAATATAAAATCCAGTATGCAGCAAATTGGGAGGAAGAAGGAACGGAAGCAGAGAACTTCTATTTGAACCAGACCAGAGTATTGTACAACTACATGACTCCTTTTGTCTCAAAATCCCCGAGATGCGCATTTTTAAATTATAGAGACCTTGACATAGGGGTAAATCATAATGGAAATAACTGCTACATAGAAGGTCACGTTTATGGACTCAAGTATTTCAAGGGTAATTTTAATAAATTGGTCAAAGTCAAGACTTTGGTCGATCCTTATAACTTCTTCCGGAATGAACAGAGCATCCCACCTTTAGCAGCGTAGAGTACAACTATAGGGGCAATCAGGACGTGATGATGTATGCGTAACCTTGAGGTGTCAGGGGCAATCAAGCCATTTTATTTTGGCATATTTCTTTCTGTTGAAAGATTAGTTCTAGAGACAACCTTCTATAAAATTCCTTTTTATGTTGAATCCAGTTTGCTTCAAGGGACTAACAAATGCAAGCAACATACAGCTTATCAATTCCCATACATCCTAACAGTCTTAAACAGAATCTATAGTACTCTTTTCCTTTTTCCTCTATTTTTCATTTTTTTTGG